CACCACTAAAACGATGGCTTATGGAACGAGACAGTGCAGATAGGATGAGACCATCAGAAGCTAGATAGAAAGAAACATGATGGAACAGAGAAGCGGTTCACAAAGGCAAAAGACAGAAGGGGAGGCGGGAAAGGTAGGAGATGGATATCTGTGCACACCTGAATCCTTTCCAAGGCCTTTTGCATTTGTAGGAGACCTTGGCCCACTTTGTACTCCATAAGAGCAATGCTCATCATTAGCTGGCACATAACTAGTAGTGGCAACTTTGTCTGTGCATTCCAGTGGCAGTTTTTCTGGAGAAATCGGATGCAGGTCATCTGAAGGCTCTTTTCGCTTGGAATTAGTTACTCTTGGCTCAAGTTGGGCTTTGGATCTCAACTGTGTTTGGTTCTCTTTCCGAGCGTCTGCACAGGGACTCAAAGGACTACTTTTACCATGGCCAAGAGATCCAGGTGCTTGATTTTCCAATTTCAAGGCCCATCCTTCAGGAAAAGACTGCTTCTTTTTCCCAACAGCAACAGGTGACTGAGGAGATTCTAATCCTGGAACAGTTTTTGACTTTGTCTTTGGTGAGAAAGAAGCTAATGTTGGTCTATCAGGTAGAGGCTTTGGGATGTCAAGGGTCAAATGGGCTCGACTAGATGCCAACTTGCTCTGAAAGGACTGGGGTGACAAAGAGCTTGCAGTTTGCTGAAGGGAAGGATTCACTGGGCTGTTATCTTTCACAAAGGGCTTATTCTTCTCAATGTCCTCTAGCAAATTTAATCTTGTTTTCTCTGATACCTGGTTGATCTTCACTTCATTCTGGTTTTCTGAACCATCACCAAAGTACAGATTCTCTCCCACAGACACACTACGGGACATCTTGGCCATGAAACTTGTGGTAGGACTCATATAGGACTTTGGTTTTGCAGCTTTAATGTCTTTGGCTTGCAAAAAGCTGGAATTCTCCATCTTCAACAGTGTTGCAGAAAATGTTTGACAATGGTTGGATTTTGGCTCCTTCTCACCTATCATTAGTGCCTGAGGCCGCTGCCTGACAGACAGCATCACTCCAGGAATTTTATCTGTAGAAATGGAATAAATAAATGCACACAACTGGTCTGGAGCAATTTGAGCAGTCAGAATTAAAAGAGCTCCAGCTTCTAAATGTAATTATTTCACTTCAATTTCTGGAAGAAATAGTAAGCAAAATAACAATGTTATTTCAATATTTTTGAGCCATCCCACTTTGTTCTACACAGTTTTTCTTTAAACATCATTACCTTAATTTCTGTTTTAAAAAATTTAGACAAGAAATAAGTGTTAACATGTCCTATTTGTGTCTTTTGCTCTGTTTAATATGCAATAAACCTCATGAAAGTTGCAATAATGTTATCTTCTTTAAGAAAAAAGTAGCCATAACAGACCTGTCAAATTGGCGACTTGCGGGTTGGATGTGTCACATGCAGGCCATGCCCACCCCAGCTCCACAAAGGCAAAAAAACATAGTCACAATACATCACATGTAACTATCAAGTTTGACACCCGTGCCATAGAATAATAATCCCAGTTTGTTATTGCTAGCATAGAATTTGTGGTATTTATCCTGTGAGTAGTGCAAACGACTAAGAAAAATAAATGAAGTCCCAAAGAACACATGTAATATGGGTTAAAAAAAAAGTGAGATGTCAGTTCCTAGACACCGAACTGACTTGTTACCAAGAAGTTCTGGATGCTTTGAAGTCGATTGGACTGACTAAACTGTCTACAACAGAGAATTCAAAGCCTTTTCAAGGTCAGTTCACCAGGGCAAAAAAGGAGAGAAGCAGTTACTGTTTTCATTGCTGCTACTTCTCCTTTTTTAATTTCTTAAAACTGTTACCCTCCCACTGATGTCAAAGGAAGCAGGAAAATATGTTCAAGGTTTCTGTAGATCTCTCCAAACCCTGTTTCATGTCAAGGACATGGGAGAATTGCCAAAGTCTCATTCAGCATACTAACAATAGTAACATACAAACAAGTCCATTCACTTTTTCCCACAATTGATAGGGAGGGAAGGGCAGCTAACGTTTTCACAGGGCTTGGGAGAGACACCTGAGTCACTCCAAACCTTCTTTCCTGAGGATATATCTCTTTCACACTCTTAAAAGAAAGATCTAGGTAAACTTTCCTTTTCTTTCAGGGTTCACTGGACTTGTAGCCTTTTTAAAAAATGACTGCCAACTTGCATCTTTTTGTCATCAGATGTAGGAATTAGTTTTCCCTTGCAATCAGTGTCTGCCCAACTCAACCCACCCTCTGAAACTGATCAGTAACTACATTTTGTAGTGAGAACTTGTGCTTTCTGAACAAAAACATGTAAGGATTTTCAGCCTCACAGATAAGATTCCCATTGTTGAGTCATCACTCTAACCATTTCATAGAAGGCACTTCCTTACCATTATGAACAAGATTGTGAACTGATTGGGATTTCCGCAGCACCACCACTCCATCACTATCTGGGAAAGACCCAACAGATCTTCCACGTCCTCTGTTGAACTCTACAGCAGATTTCCTTTTCTTCTGCATATAAAATGGCCTAATATCATTTTGAAAGAAGCCATTCTCTGTGGGCATGTGCTGATAGTCAAGCCCATTGTTCAGCAGTTCATTGGTAACTTGCTTTGGCAAAACAGACCCTTCAGTAGATTTCTTATCCAGGACTAGCTTTGATGCAGAAGATGAGGGTTCCCTATGGAATTGAATACAGGAAAAGATATTTGATTGACAATTGCGTGCCATCGTAATGTCACATTTCTACCATCTACTACTACCTAACATCATTATGTTCCATTCTTGCCAACTACTATGAAATAGAGTAGTTCTATAAAAGTGTTTCCTAAAGCCATTAAAGAATATTTAAGGTGAATTCTTTCCACAAAAAAACCCACTTATAGAACAGTTGGCAATAAGAACAGAAGGGCTAATCCTGCAGGGATTATTTGACAGAATGATCTAGGGAAAAAAAGGAATTTATACTATGCAAAGCATAGTAACTCTCTGTTATTATCAGAGTAATCTCTTAATATGACATCGTTGAGATCTTACTGTGAGATAATTGGCATGGCTATGTGTGACCTGATGATTTAGTGAAAAGGAGGAAGTTGAAGCAAGTAAATCTGTTATCAGAGTAAGTTCCGCTTGACTAATATGAGATACAGGCAGTTGCTCTCATCTCTTGAATGCTGATAAAAAGCAAACCAAAGACTTCTCAATAGTATAAACACCCTTATCCAATACACAAAAACAATAAGCTTCACATTCCATCATGCATAATATTTCTATAATAAGAATCTAAATATTCATGCAGCATTGAAAAGTAAGCATTTTTCTCCCTCACCTAATGAAAACAGACTGGAGCTAATTAGTAAACAAGAAGGGATAGTATATATGTTTTTTTTTACTATACAAGATGAATGAAATGCTGAAGTAAAATAAAATGCCTAAACAGCAAAGACTAAATAATTTTTTTTAAGGTTCAATTTTCATTGAACCATAAATGGACTTATCTACACAGCCTAAGAAATAAATGTAACTATAGCCTATAAAGTATCTTGATCAAACATGGCACACTTTGGCTTTTGTGCTTTTCCTGAAAATATGCATCAAAAAGATTGGAAGCTTCATTTAATCTCATCTTGTTCCTTAGATCTAAAATGTATACCATCTTAGCTTGCTCTATCTGTGCAAAGCTTGTTTGCATTCATAAAAAATGGAACTCTACCTGAGTACTGGAAACCGAGATAAAAACCGAGAAGAAATACTGTTTTCCATTCTCTCCAGGGTCCTACATGAGCCATCTGTCATTTAAAAAGGAGGAAAAGTACTCAAATTAGGGATGAAAAGCTGCAGGAGATTTGGATGTGAAATTTCAGCAAGAGAAACTTGACTTAGGTTTGTCTATTTTGTGTACAATATATAAGAACAAAGATCCCTAGAATAGCATACTTTGCTCTGCACCCCACATCATTTTACAAACTATTTCCTGAGTTCAATGGAAATTAATGCCATTGTTCTCAGGATTGCAGATTAATAGATAACTATTAGTTTCATCTTGACTAAATCATGGCTGCAAGCTGCTATAACTCTTTCCTCTAACATTAGGCAATTCAACTATTTCTGTCTCGGCTCAAAAGCTCTTATTTAAACCAGAGCATTAATCTACTTTCATTTCACTGATCATGGTCTTAAGGCCATCTACTGGGAGACTAGTGGACTTCCTTTTCTAATTGGTTAGCCACCATGAGAATAGACTGCTGGATTAGATGGAAGAGTCTGATTCAGCAGGGCATCACTTATCTTCTTATAGACTGTATGACAAGGGGTATGAATCTACAAATTAATATATCAAAGATTAAGGTACTTGTGCCTGACCGGGAAAATTGAGTTAACAGTTATAATTTCCATTAAATATGCTAATGTACCCTTATCACTGTTACTGGCTAGAGTCTCAAAATGCTGCTTGAGGAACTTCTCTTGATCTGGAGTCGTAGGAACATCTCCATCCAATAATCCAGTGTTTACATCTTCCTCATCTTCTTCACCCACTTGCTCATCCAAGTCTGAGGTGCCATCCACACTAAGAGGCTCAGTACTCTCAGAATCTGAAATTATATACATCATATGCAATTTATATAAAACATTATACCAGTGAAACCTGAAAGAATACATTGCACTAAGTCATTACATCATTAACAGAAAAATTCTTGGTCCATTCCACTGTAACAATTTTGGGCACATGGGGATGGCATCATTATTGTTGTTCTATTTTCCAAATATATATCATATCATAATCAAATGAATGTTGATTCCAATGATTCAGGACTTAGCCAAGGATTTAAGAATTAGGGAATATAGTATAATATGTACGCAGTTCCAAGTATTTCACAAAATTAGCCTGTCAAGTCCAACAAATTTAAAACTTGCTAAATATTTTGGAAGTATATCAAGTCATAGTCATAATTGGCATGACAACTGATATTTTTCACCATAATCTTTTTAAGCCCAATTTTAAAATCACAATATTCTGTTATTTTTCTCCAGTTGATTTTCATCCATTAAACTGTCTCTGTGTACTGCCCTATCAGTGAACTATATCTTTTTGCTCTAACAGTTAATACCTGGTGTATTGTATTTTATGTGTCTAGCAGTTTGAATTTTGAAAACCCACCAAATGTTGATCTCACTTTGCAAAACTCTTCAGGCACAGGGTCATTTGTAAACAGCCAAATTTTCCACATAAATTTCAACCGATTTTTTTCCCAACCCTATTATGCTCTATGATATTGTTTATGCTCTGTGGGTTTTTTTTCTCCAGCACTAATAAGCAATCTATAATTTTAGGTTTACCCTTATGATATCATTATTATCATCTCCCCTTTCTCTCCAAAGCCTTTTCCTTGCAATATTATGCAAGAAAGATTCAATCTGGAGTATTAATTTTTCAGCTGACACATATTGGTTTGTTTGCTCTTTTGGAAAAACAAGGAAGGGGAAAGTAATTCTTTGTCCTTACTTGAAGAAGTCCTACAAGGAGAAAGAAATGTTTCCCTCAAAGAATTAATTCAACTAACTTTAAACTCTAATCCCCATAATAGTGCAATAGTTTCAGTAAACGTATATTTCTCCATCCCATACATCTTGTCCTTTGAGTGAGCCTTACCAGATCATTTTTTCCTATTCTCACAAAATGCATATATAAATTATTCTGAGAAGAATTCCAGTCTATATATCCAGAAAATATTTTCAGAAAATACATTCTTCATTTAATAAAACTTTCAGTTAACCAAGAATATATGCCATTATCTTAAGGAGAATCAATGTTTCCTTAAAATGTGCTCACGCTTTAAAAATGTTATGGTGTTCGTGCTATTTAATGCATTCTAAGCTAAGGTTAATTTCAGTGTTTGTTCTGTGTGGGTAACTGATGTTGCAATTTCATTACATACTTTTTTTCTTGAGCCATTTGCCAAGCATTGTAGTAATTCCATAGGATATAAAGATTAAAGCTATACGGAACTATAATTCTGCCTGTATAATATATGGTCTAGTGATTTTCCCAAGTATTTACTGTAGCACGGTAAAACAGATGCTGAATAGCAGTGAAAGAGACTTCGATTAAGCTTTTATCTGAGAACAATTCAAATGAAATTCAGAATTAAAAAGGTAATATTTTAATCTGGAGTGGGTTTTGTGGCCACGACTGAATTGACCGGTAGAGAAAATTGGGTGGGCTATGAGTCCAAATGATTTCAAAGGACTCACCTTCATTTGGACTTGATAGTCGACTGCTGCTATAATCCACAGAACAAGCACTGTCGGGGCTGTGCTTATCTGGGCCTTCATTGCTATTGTAGCTTCTACCCAGTTTTCCATGTGGAAGTGCTTTTACTTGGAAATCACTGTAAGAGAAAAGAAGAATACAAATGTGCAAAGCTGTTATCACTCATAGAGCCCTTCAATGCACAGGGCCAGGCTATCTGAATAACTGCCTATCTCCCATGGTTTCTGCCCATCTGGTAAAATCAGGCACAGTTGGTACCCTGCAAGTCTCTTAAACAATGTCAACTAATGATCTCTAGAAAGCATGCCTTTTCTGTTGCAGTGCCTGATCCCTGGAATGATATCTCCCCAGAAATTCATATTGTTCCTGGTCAGAGGTGGGATGCAAATATTTTTACTACCAGTTCTGTAGGCGTGGCTAGGTGGGCATGGCCATGTGACTGGGTAGGTGTGGCTTTTTTTTAATGTAGCGCTCCGTTTTTTTTTCCTCCTGGGCCTCAGGGAAGCCTCCTGAAGGGTATTTTTCTGCCCGCCCCCCCCCCCGAGGCCCAGGAGGGCCAAAAACAGAGCATGGTGGGGCATGCAACTCTCCCCCGCTCTCTATTTTTTTGCTTCCTGGGGAGGCATTTTTGGAAGACCCAAAATAGAGCATGGGGGGGCTGCGCAGCACTCCTCCCCAAGCGCTCCTTTTGCCTCCTGGGCCTCAGGGAAGCCTCCTGGGTGAAGCAGTAAGACAGCAAGGGAGATCCCAACACAGCTGATCATCAGACCAGCTGACGGTCAGGAGGGGAAAAAAAATACTGGTTCAGCTGAACTGGTAGTTGTTTTTTTTACTACCGGTTCGGCTGAACGGTAGCATTTTTTACTACCAGTTCACCCGAACTGGTGGAGCCCTATTGAGGTGTTGCTATGTGGGTTATTGTCCAAACATCTTGTTCCTTGTTCCTATTTTTCTGTTTTAAACCTCAAGCCAATCAGAATCATTCTGTTTTTGGGTGGCCTTCAAATCCAATAAGTAAGTAAGTCAAGGCACAGAAACAAAAAAAAGTCTTTCTGACCTGCTGATATCAGCAGGAGGAAGATCATCTTGTTCTGGGTAGATGACACATTCTTCACTCTCTGAAGGTTCCATTTCCTGTGGGAAAATCCCTCCTTCACAGGAGACAAGTCTAATTACTTGAGGCCGAAGGCAAGGGTGATTTTCTTCAAGAGCTGTGGAGCCTCCTTCCTGGAAAGGGAGTCAAATAGTGAAACACAATACCTGTATATGAGTAAAGGCCACATGGAAGATTGGAAGCCTAGGATTAAGGAAACACCTGACAAGAAAGGCAGGAACTGATCTATCAAAATTATTTACATGGAGCATTTTATTAATGCTTTTATATCACTGGAGTCATTTGTATTAGAGTTTCCATGAGCCAAAATGATAGGTTTTATTGCAGAACAACCCTTCTCTAACCATTCCTCCCCCGCCCCCCAATTGTGGCAAAACTAAGGAATCTCCTGGGGTTTTTTGGGGGGGGATTCAATTTGAGAAGGGGATTTCTTACTTTCTTGGCATAATTTGGAGCATTGGGGTGTTCTTTGTGGTCGTCTCCATTGCTGGCCTGGGAAAGAGAATCCTGACTAGCAGAACGAGAGACTGAGAAAGACTCCAGTTGACGTAGATCAAGCATAGATTTAACTGTCATCTCTAAACTGCTTGTTGGCTGGGTCCAACGGCTCCGTTGCCGAGGCATCTTGCTCATGGTGTTTTCTGAAGCCTGGATCATTGCCATTTCTTTTGCCTAAAAGGGGTAAAATTATTTTTAAAATGCTCTAATGGTAAATCTGCTCAGGAAATTGCAATATTCCAGGACAACTATAACAAAAGAAAAACAAAAATATAGGGCAACCTTCTTCAGTTCAACCTTAAAAACTGCAGATGTGCCATAGTTAAAATTTCTAGAATTCCTACAGTCAAGTAATCCTGACGTTTTAGGTAGGAAAGTTTGGTGTAGATGGCAGGGAATGATATAAGATTTCTAAAAACAATGGAAGAAAGCTCTTCATCTTTAGAATAGGAAAAGGAAAAGGAACAATAGTTGTTTCTATATACTTCAGCTATTACCATCAGAAAGCTAACAATGAGTTTTACATTAACCAAACTGAACTCTCCTTTCTCATGCTTCTACTGACAGCATTAAAGCACAATATTCTCATTATTCTCAGATTAAGTAAAGTAGCCCATTAAAGCTAAGCACATGGTTTCTATCATTTTTTTCTGTACTTTCATGTACAAGCGTTATTCACAGGAGGGGGAACAGGTCTGCCTAAAAATTGCTGCCAAAGTAATAATCACTGATACATAAATATCATTCAGTTTTATGGTTAAATTGTTAAGTTCATTTAAACAATGCAAGATCTCATTGAAAAACTTATTGCAATAAGAGTCTGTACTATACAATCCATAGAATCTCTGGTGCGGGCAAGATAAAAATGCTTGCATAAATAAATTTTATTTCTACTTTCCGAGTTTTGACACGTTCAATAAATCGCTCACCAGGACAAAGCTATCTGTTTTGAGGAGAATTGCAAAGGCTAATATTTCTAAGAACTTATATGTATTTGGCAGGTAATTGCTTGAATTGCAGTTGAATATATAGATGCTTTGTCATTTAAAAACTATCAAGAGTCAACATTAGCGTATCATGTATATTTACTCACACTACACTGCAAGACTAACCATCTACTCTTCAACTTTAAATATGTACTGAAAGCTTACCCGTCTCATTTCCCAGTGAGATAAGCTTCTTGAAAGAGAAAGATCTGAATTTAGGACAGAAAACGGATCAGATTAGTAAACATAAAAAATAATGGATTTTGGTTTTTGCCCAAAGTTTTTATTTTATTTTATACTGCCTTTATTATTTGTATAAATAATTCAAGGCAGCAGACATTCCTAATACTCCTTTCTCATCCTATTTTCCCCAAAACAACTGTCCAATAATACACAAAGCACAGCCACAGTAATCTATTTGCAATGTCTTTGAATATAAAAAAGGAATCAGGGTTGATACAATTTAAAAACCAAATGAGTTTCAGCATGGTATGCTTTCATTGGTACATAAAAATAAAGTTCGTATAACTCATTTTTAAATACCAAGAATACCAACGTCACGTCATAGTACAGTTAATTCTGCTGCTAATAACTGTTCATTGACCTCATATGTATATTTATGTATGTTTTCTTATATAGATACTTCTAGCTTTTCTTTCATTTTTAATGTTGCTTAAAAATAATTTTCTACCCTTTTTTCTCTATGTGTTAGCAAAATAGCCTGGAAGGCCAACATAGCAATAGGTATCAGGCTGGTCTTCTACTCTAGAAAGCCATCTGACTATGACAAAAATCTTGGGTTCAGTAAAGTGTTTGGATTGTGCTCATAGCAAAATGGTTGCATCCTATTGTCTGCTTGAAAAAGAAAATACTCACACTGGGAAAATTAAAGACAACTTTCAGCTGCTTAAGGTATGAGGCAACTTTTTAAAAAGGCTGTCAGGCTGTTTGAATTATTATGTTTGATGAAAATGAAGAAAGGCCCAGCGCCTATGTGATTTTGTTTCTAAATTTATTGTTTCTCTCATACTTCACTCTGCCAACTGCCAGCAGTTCAATCCTGAACAGCTCAAGGTTGGCTCAGCCTTCCATCCTTCTGAGGTGGGTAAAATGAGGAGCCAGATTGTTGGGGGCAAGATGCTGACTCTGGAAATTTCTTAGAGAGTGCTGTAAAGCGCTGTGAAGTGGTACATAAGTCAAAGTGCTGTTGCTATTGGTATTTCTCCCCTATCTTCATATTCCCTTATACCTGAACAACTCTCAAGATCGACATTGGTTGTCATTTGGAAAGGCTGTAGACCATGTAACTCATCCTCATCATTTCCTTCATCTTCACCATCCTTATCGCTGTCTGATGAAAGCACTGGTGCAGATGAGAGGACGGAGACTGATTCATGCCTAGAGAAGTTATATGAAAAATGAGCTTAATTATATAGTAAGTGTAAACATTCTTAATTAAAAATAGTTTTGCATACAGCTCCATTTATATGTTACAAATAAAGGTAAAATCTGAGATTTCTGGAAAATTTTGAATTGGAAAATGAGCATGATTCCAGTTAACATATTTATCTTAAAATCCATGGTCTACCCAAGTACTTGAGCTATATTATTTGATATGAGAAAGAAAGAAATCCCTGCTTCTCAGGTTTTTAGAACAAGCAACATCACATAGCTTTGAAACTGCCAAACTTGCCCAGAATGAAAAAAAATATATCCACGGAACATTTTGATCTTGAAAAAAATTCCAGCCCACATCTCTGTTGGGATGCTTGTAAAATTCTAAAAATGAGAGTCATAAGTACAATTAAACTTCCCCCACTCAAAATCAATGCTACTTCAAAGCTCTTGAACAGTATTAAATTATGTCATTTAGCCTTTTATTTTTATAATTTTCATTTTAGCACTATTTAGCACTGAAGATGGTGTTTGATTTCATTGTATAAGGTACAATGACAATAAAGTAAACTAACTAATTATAAAAATAAAATCTACAGTCAAAAACTACTACCCTTCTTGGAAAAGAAAAATCAGTTATGTTGAGGAAGATGACAGTGTAAACCCATCTACCAATCTCAGTGTTGCATTTTTAGCCATGAAACAAGTAAAAAATAATGTTTAAAGTATCAAAGATAAAAGTTTAATTACAGTGCAACTGATAAGCAGGAATTATTGGCACATCATCTGAGGACATTCAGGATGAATACATACATGATTACATCTCTTTTCCAGCCAAAGAACCTAGAGCAGGGGTCGCCAACCTTTTGGACCTCAGGGACCACCAAACTCATTATTTTAAATCCCGGGGACCACTAATGTGAATTTTGACTGACTTGGCTTGCTGACATTGGTGGGAGGGAGAAGGAGAGAGAGAGAGAGATCTGATCTAACCTCGGAGCGCTGGTGATATACTCTCTCTCTCTCTCTCTCTCTCTCTCTCTCTCTCTCTCTCTCTCTCACACACACACACACACACACACACACACACACACACCCTCCAAGGCAGCCCCATTCCTAGCCTGCTTTGAGCTCCGTTCTCAGGCTGCACACAAGGAAAGCAACCAAAGTCTTTCTTTCTTTCCGTCAAACTCTACCAGAAGTGAGTCTTCGCCGGTGCAGCCTCTTGGAGCAGGATGCCTTGCAGGGTCACAAAGACTCATTTCTGGCAGAGTTTGGGGCAGAGAAAGAAAGATTTTGGCTGCTTTCCTTGCGTACAACCAAAAACAGAAGAAGAAGCTGAAGAAGCAACCCAGTGGCCAGGCAAGTTCCCCCCTCCGCCCTTTCCCCCCTCCCCTCACTACCTTGTGTTGCTCCTAATGCAAGCGACAGAAGCCTTGTGTTCCTGCGGGCCATGTGGGCGGCACTGCCTTGTGTTCCCTGCAGCCTGGATTAATTGCTTTGGGAGGTTGCTTTGGAGTGGCATTTCTTCGTGGACCACCAAAATATTCTCGTGGACTACCAGTGGGCTGTGGCCCACCAGTTGGCGACTGCTGATCTAGAGCAACTAAGCCTATTAGTTCCAAATAATGCCACATGTAAATTTATCCATTCATTTCATGACCATGCATAGGAAAGCCTAGAGTTCTACCATCAACTTGTATTTGTCACCATGCAAAGCTCCAGGAATGACAATAATTTGATCTACCAGATTTTCCTACAGTTTACAAATTAACAAGAATGCAAAACTTAGGACTTAAAGGTTCTTCAGTTCTTTAATATTTCTTTTTTACAGAAAGAGGAAATTCAGGCTTTCATATTAATAGGCTAATTAAAACTGCAAGTGTTATTTCCATACTACTTATTTTCCCACTGTTCGGATTTATCCGCAGAACTACATGGCATTCTTCAGGGCAGATTTTAAAAAGAAAGATGGTGGCAATGATGACAGTGTGATCCAAACCTTGTCTCTTGTTTTACATGTAATTAATGTCATACAGCACGTATGTACAATGGGCAGAGCTTGTTGGTTTTAACCTTCCCTGCAAATCCTTTAAGCTGTGTTGTTTTTGAACGCATGAAGGAGCCACAAAGCTTTGGGTAATATTGTGCAGATGTGAGTCCAGAAGCTAATAAGTGACCTGATGAAAAGAAACCACTTTAGTTTATTGGCTCGCAAAAAGAGTTAAGGGGTCTAGGTTGCTTATGAGGCCAAGGGGAGTTTCTAATATCATGCTTCCTTTGATAATGTTTGTGTAGATACTTGCAGGAGAGACTGAGGAGAAGAATGGCAAGTTATAGCGCAGGTAGTAATTCCCTTCCTTAATTGTCATTCAAAACCTGATCCAGCAGCAACTACCTAGCCTATTTTTCCACTGGCTACGTTTAGACACTGAAAATAAATCTGGTGTGGAATGTAGCAAACTTTAAAAACCAACACAACACCTTATGCCAACAGATAAAGGCAGAATGCACAAATTACCACTGCAAGCAAGAGGAAAACCTCCTACGTACAAAATTCACCTGCGCCTTCTACAATTTTGTAAACACCAAACTTAAAGACTCAAGAACCATCCCCCCCCTAAAAGGACCAAATGGGAAAGACTGCAATGATGAAGCATCTGTTAAGGCCAATCTCTTCAACACATTCTTCAGTTCAGTCTTTGTAAACAGCAATGGTTCATACCCCACATTTTCTAGTCATACCACAACTAACTGTAATGACCTACTACATATTGACTTTACAGAAGATAACGTAGAAAAGGCACTACATAACCTAAAACCATCCCTATCTATTGGACCCAATGGATTATGTGCATACTTCTTAAAAAAGCTCTCCTCTACTATAGCAGAACCCCTAAACATTATATATGAGATATCATTCAGAAGCAGCTCCTTACCAAACCTATAGTCCTTAGCTACGGTCATCCCTATCTTCAAAAAAGGTGAGCTCAGCCTGGTTGAAAACTACAGACCAATCCCACTGTGTTGTGTCACTTGCAAAGTCATGGAATCAATCATTAACCAATTCATCACCCTCCACTTAGAGTCAAACAACCTACTCTCTAAAAAACAATTTGGTTTCAGGAAAAAAATTGTGCTGAAATCTTCAACTCTTACACTGCAAAAACATATGGACTACTCTACTTGACCAGGGTAAAGCTATAGAAACAATTTACATAGACTTCTGCAAAGACTTTGATTCAGTGGTACATGACAAGCTACTGTTAAAACTAAACTCTTACGGCATTTCTGGATCCCTTCATAAGTGGATTACTGTGTTCCTGTCAAACAGGCAACTAATAGTAAAAATAGGAAATGCTATATCAAACCCTGCTCCAGTTAATAGCGGTGTCCCCCAAGGCAGCATTCTAGGACCCACACTATACTCTATATAAATGATCTTTGCGATCACCAAATACGAACTAGGTGGATATGACCTCATTGACGATCCTCACTCTGTCAAGGACCTTGGAGTTCTCATATCAAATGACCTAAGCACCAGAGCTCACTGTAACAGCATTGCCAAAAAGGCATTAAGAGTTGTAAATCTAATCTTACAAAGCTTCTCCTCCAGAAATATCAAATTGCTAACTAGTGCATACAAAACTTTTGCTAGACCAATATTTGAATATAGCTCATCAGTCTGGAATCTGCACTGCATATCGAACATTAATATAATCAAGTGGGTCCAGAAGTATTTCACGAGAAGAGTACGACACTCCTCTGCTTGCAACAGAAAACCCTATATCACCAGGCTTGAGATTTTGGGCTTGGACAACCTTGAACTACGCTGCCTACGGTTAGACTTAAGCGTAGCACACAAAATTATCTGCTACAATGACTACTTCAGCTTCAACCACAACAATACAAGAGCACACAATAGATACAAACTCAATTTAAACTGCTTCAAACTCGATTGCAGAAAGTATGACTTCAGCAACAGAATGATCAATGCCTGGAATGCACTACCTGACTCTGTTGTTACATCCTCTAACCCCCACTCCTTTAACCGCAAACTATCCACTATTGATCTCACCCCATTCCTAAGAGGTCTATAAGGGGCGTGCATAAGTGTACCATTGTGCCTACCGTCCCTGTCCTACTGTCCCCATTTATTTGTACCTATATCCTGTAATCTTACTCTTACCTATTATTTTGTAAGCGATTGACAAATTAAATCAAATAAATAAATAAATAAATAAATTTAGGGGTTGTGAGAGAAAACAAGCAGGTATGTTCCTTGCTAAATACCCTTATACCTTCTACTCGGTACACACTCCCCTCACACTTTAATTTCACACTTGATTATGGGTAGCAAACAAATGCTGAAATATCATAAAATTTTATCCTGAAACCTTTAGTTGATTGTTTACAGCAAGCAGGTAAAAAAAAAAGTGACTGGGTCTAGTCATAACTGTTTATCTTTAAAACCATAACATGCAAGTACTTAAATTCAAAGCAAAGGCAAGGCTAGAATGAATCATTAGCTTCAGCAGGATATTGTCAATATCAAGCTGTCAAGATCAGTCAAGATCTACAGTTGCAGTCAGGCATAAAGCAGTACTGTACAGTATATCCAGCATAAACCCTATAGGAGACAAAGGTTATTTAGAATTTATTTTATTATTTTGTTTATTTATTAAAATTTTTTGCTTCAAAGCAACATAATTGTTTCTTCTCTTTGAAGAAACAGCATTAAGGAGAATATATCCTAAGGTCACAGAAGTTCCCTCTTCAACTTAAGTATTAAAAGTTACAGAGGTCTGTCCTCTATTTATATCTCGCCACTCTAATTTCCAGCCTGGTATTTGTTTTCAGCATTGAACTAAGCTTATAATCCTTTTATTTAAAATAAGAATACAATCTATTCCAGTTTCTCCCTCAAGATTTTCCTTAAGAGCATGATGTGGAATAAAAGCACACCAAGAGCCATGGCGGCGCAGTGGTTAGAATGCAGTATT